GCAGCTGGAGCCCCTCTTCAGCTGGAGCTCAGCGCTGGCTCACCCAGCTCCTCCCGGGAGAAGGACAGGCTGGTGGTGTCCTCATTCAGGTTCTTGCTGAAGTCGATGCTCAGGTTGCTGAGTTTCTTCTTGATGTTCTTGATTTCCTGTAACAGCAGAGACATTTATCCCCTGCAGATGAGGCCGTCTGCCTCCAGCCCAGTGAGAGGCAGCCCCACCTCCTGGTTCTCTTTGGGCAGGTGGAGGCCGTTCCTCCTCCCCAGTTTGATGAGCCGCTCCATGTAGCGCTTCGCCTCCGGAGAGAGCTGCTCAGAGTCCATCTTCTTCTGCAGGAGCAGAGGAGAGCCAGTCACACACCAGCAGCAGCCGCCGGACAAAGAGCATCCCCCCGCCCCCCCCCCCCAGGCCTCCGATTCCCCCTCCTAACCAATGCACCAGAATGAATTCAATAGTCTCTCTGGTCCTCTTCAGAACACATCCCCGGATGTTTCAGTTTACCATTAAACTGTTTTCTGGTCCAGTTTTTCCTTAATCTGCTGGCGAGGGCGCTTTAACCCCTCACCACTCTGGGGTTTCCCTCAGACCCCTCTTAAAGGGGCTCCATGCGGTGGGGAGGACCTACAGCGTCCGCATGGACTGGGGGATGGCAGTAACCGGAGCCCTAAACTGCTTCATGCTTCATGTTCTACAGCCCTATTCCAGCAGCTCTGATTGGACCCTTAGATGATGACATCACCCAGGCTGAGGAGCTTCAGCTCTACCAGACTGGACCTGGATCATGGGATGTTAAACAGCAGTGGGGGGGGGTCTTCATTCTCCTCCCTACAGAGGAACGTGCTGTCCGGGGGCTTCTGCTGAGGCGGGCAGCAGCAGGTGGGACGGGGGAGGGAAGAAGAGCCCCCCTTACCTCCAGAGCGACGATGCGCTGGTAGACGTCCTCCCTCATGCTCATCTCCACGTCGAACTCGGACAGACGCTTGTCGGCCTCGGTGCTGGCCGCCCGCACCTCCTTACAGGGAGAGACGTGCTGCGGGAAGTCCAGCATGTTCCTCTGGACTGGACAGCACACACAGAGGCGTTAGTCAGATCAGACCCCCTCTGACCGACACACAGAGAAACGTTCATCTGCTGCCGCCTGCAGGAGACCACAGCCCAGAGAGCTGACCCCCACCGCCCAGAGAGCTGACCCCCCCACAGCCCAGAGAGCTGACCCCCACCGCCCAGAGAGCTGACCCCCCGCCCTGAACACGGGCTCCTGTCATGGAACCTGAACCTGGAACAGAAAAATCACAGAGCGTATCTAAAGCAGCAGAGCCAGGAGCCCCAGAGAGCCTCTACAGCTCAGGAGGGGAATTAAACCATTAGCCACTCACAAGAATTCAGGGATGAGGTCAAACTATAAAGCAGAAACTCATTCTACCACATTTACAGAAATATACACACACACACACACACACACACACACATCATGCCATCCCCTCTTTGTAACCACGTCTGGTTTATTATTTTATCATATGCGGGAAATTCCATTGAAAAGCTTCCAGCGTGTAAAGCTTTAGTTTTATGTTCAGAGGTGACAGAATGTGACAAACAGGTTGGGGCTTTTTGTGTGTCCAGGCCTGTGGACAAAGCAGCTGCTTGTTCAGCTGCTTTGTCCACAAACTGCTGACGGGGCCAGGCTGGCGTCCTGCTGACGGGGGCAGCGGCCGGGCGGGCCCTCTGGGCCTCCACCTCCAGGACTCTCACCCTAACCATGAGACAGCACGTGTGTGGTGTCCATCATCTCTGTAGTGACACATCTCCCTCCACCTGAAGCCGTATGCCCTTTAACAGACTTAAGGAGCAGATAACACTTCTCCCTTCAGGCTGGCATCTAAAAATGGGAAGAGAAAAAACATCCACATCGAGGAGAGGCTAAGGACACAAACATCAGAGCCCTGTAAAAGGATCCGCAGCTCAAGGCTCATGAAAACAGCAGAGACCTGAAAACTGCAGCTCTCCTGGAGCCTCGGGGCAGTGTCCGAGCTCAGCTGGACCTCCGCTCTGCCCCCCTCCAGCTGCTGCGGGTGTCTGACCCGCTGAGGGAACTCTGGGGGCTTCAGCTAACGGGGTTAGCTTCAGCTAACGGGGTTAGCCTCAGGCTGACTGCAGCAGGGCTCAGAGTCCTGAAGTCCTCCAGCAGAGGGAGCTCTGTCCTGGCAGCTGCTCACTAACTTCAGCTGACCATGTTCTTTTGGGGATCCAGAGAAAACCAGCAGAGTTCGGATCCCCAGCAGTCCACAGAGGAAAGCCTGCCCTCTGAAAGCCCCCAGGCTGCTGCTCTGCCCCCCCCCACAGCCGCAGCAGGTCCAGCTGCTCTCAACTGACCCGTCCAGAGCCACGGTGCCAGACTCCGTCAGGTCCATCCACAGTGATGGAAAGCAGCCCGCCGGGCAGAGGAAGCTGGCCGGGTTTCAAGAACCACTGCTGGACTGGTATCTCAGTCCCAGATGGCTCCAACATCTAGGCTCAACTTTAGCTTTTTTCTGTCAATCTGTTCTCTCACCTTTTTCCTTTCAAAAGTTGAAACATTTCATGTTCTCCTCCAGCCCTCCTGGAGGGAAACCAGCCACTCTTTGCACTTTTAATGTTGTTTAGATAATGATTATTATTACCCAACACCAGGCAGCAAACACCCTCCTTGTGATAGTCCCTGTTAAGGACTTCTATCTTTTAAGACACTCTGCAGCATCCCCCCCAAAGCCTCGGCTCCACACTCGGCTCGTGGGCGGCCTTCTTTCATCAGGACAACATCGTTTCTCTGGACTGGACCCAGTTCAGGAGCCTCCCGACACCTGCCTGGAGTCCGGATGCACTGACCTGTGTACTCCACCTCCACATCAGCCAGCGCCTTCAGGGTGTTGTCCAGGCTCACGCTGTCCAGCTCCAGGCTGCCCACGCAGTCGTACACCTTCTTGGTGTTGGAGATGAGCTCCTCTGAGAGCTGCTGGATCTGCTCCGGGCTCAGGTCCCAGCGCAGCCGGTTCTCAGAGCAGACCGGCACCGGGCTGCTGAACACCACCTCACCTGGAGGCCCAAAACAGACGCAGGTAACCCCAGGAACCCCCCCCCCCCCCTAGAGAGGGTCGGGTCGGCTTCAGCTTGACTGAACCTTTGAGGCGTTTTCAGATGGGACTCCTGCGATTGGACCTGCTATTTAAGTTTGAATAAAACTCACAAAGACTCCATAAACCGACTCCATGGAGTTTCTATTCAGGCCAATTGAAATTATTCATTACCCTCTGACCGGCTTTGTGCAGGTCAATGGGAAATGACTGATTCCGGGCTTTCCGTTAGCCGGCGTGCTCCAGCTCCGGGACCGGACCCCCCTGCCGGGACCGGACCCCCCTGCCGGGAGGGGCCGGTGTGGGCGCTCACCGGCGGCCTCCTGTCGGGGGCCCAGCCCCGGCGGCCCCACAGCCCCCACCGCCCCGCAGAGCTCACATCACCTGGCGCAGGTGCTAGCATGTAGCATGCTGGGTGTCCGTTAGCTCCAGCTAACGGACGTAACCCGTCGCACGTGCGGCTGATTTAAGCGGAACCGGCTCCGTCAGCAAACTAAACTCCCCGCGAGGACTCACCTGTAGGCCCCATGCTGCACGGATTGGACAGAGGTCGGTTCGGTCCGTACGGTTCTCTGACAGGCGGCTCCGCGGACCCGAATTAAAGAAGAAAGCGTCACGTCCGCTATCACTTTTCAGAATAAAAGCACACTTCCGGTGGCTCAAACGAGTGAAAATGACAGAGGTGGTTTTTAAATGGAGAAAACTACAGAGAGACGGGTTTTAAATGGAGAAAACTACAGAGAGGCGGGTTTTAAATGGAGAAAACTACAGAGAGGTGGGTTTTAAATGGAGAAAACTACAGAGAGGCGGGTTTTAAATGGAGAAAACTACAGGGTGGAACAGCTGCTGGCCTTTTAACAGGTACCAAAGTCACCATATGTAATGTTTTAATCTGACTTCACAGACTCTGGACATCTGTGTTTTTAAATTCATGAACAGGTGAAGAAGACTTCAGCTAGTGCTGAACTGATGGTGCATTAAACGAAAAATATGACATGATAACATCTGCCTGGTAACAAAAAAAATCATTACATCAAATCCTGTTTGAGAAATTACATAATTTATTTATTATCTTAGTATAATCTTAAAAAAAACAAACAATAAAAATCCAAATGAAGTCCACGATTGAGTGGTCATTGTCAATGACAGTTGATTAAAAACAATAAAAATCAGTTTCTTATTTTAAATAAATGAAAGCAAATAATATTTGTGAAATTTATTTTACTCTCCTAAATAGATATCACATAGTAGAGCATAGATTGATCATTTCAGACTTTAGTGTTATTAAACTGAAACTTTTTTCCACCATGTCCCCAAAAAGGCTACCACTTGGTGTCAAAAACATTTAAAATGGGAAATATTTTAATACAACAGGTATGAAAAGCAGACAGAACATCCAACTTTACAATGAGAAAATGATCTCAGTATTAAGTCATTTCACATCTAGAGAAAGGACACAGTTTCCATCTGAGGGCATTAACAGGCATTTGAATGAGTCGAGTCTTTAACACCTTGCAGGTCTTCACTAGGAGGAGGGGGCTGACCACTGTGGCTTTTCATGTGAATAGTCAGTTTGCCACTTTGGGTGAAACTTTTTCCACATATTTTACAGGCATATGGCCTCTCGCCTGTGTGAGTCCTGATGTGACAAGTCAAATAACGATTTTCAGAGAAACATTTCCCACATATGTGACAAGAATAGGGCTTCTCACCTGCATGATTTCTTATGTGGATGGACAGTTTTCCACTCTGGGTGAAACTCTTCCCACATATTCTACAACAGTATGGCCTCTCGCCCGTGTGAGTTCTCATGTGTGCTGTCAAATTACGATTTTCGGAAAAACATTTTCCACAGCTGTGACAAGAATAGGGCTTGTCCCCTGAGTGAATTTTCATGTGGGCAGTCAAATTGCGATTTTCAATGAAATTTTTACCACATGTTTTACAGGAATAAGATCTCTCACCTGTGTGGATTCTCATGTGGGCAGACAAAGTACGTTTCTCCGCAAAGCGTTTTCCACAGGTCGTACAGAAGTAGGGTTTCTCACCCGAGTGGGTTCTTATGTGGGCAGTTAAATGACAACTCCTGGCAAAACTTCTACCACACATTTCACAAGAATATGGCTTCTCACCTGTGTGGATTCTAATGTGGATCACCAGCTCGTCCCTTCTGGTGAAACTTTTTCCACAGATCTTGCAGGGATACGGCTTCTCCCCTGTGTGAGACCTCCTGTGCGATGCCAGACTCCCACACTGAGTGAAACCTTTCCCACAGATGTTACATGAATAGGGCCTCTCACCCGTGTGGGTTCTCATATGAACAGTCAAATGCCCACTGGAGATGAAACTCTTTCCACATATCTTACATTTAAAAGGTTTCTCCCCTGCATGAACTCTTGTGTGGAAAGTCAAATTGCTACGCTGAGTGAAACTTTTACCACATATTTTGCAAGAATATGGCTTATGACCTGTGTGGATTCTCATGTGGACCAACAAGTTATCATGTTTTATGAAACGTTTACTGCATATTTTACAGGGATACGGCCTCTCGCCTGTGTGAATTCGTCTATGCGTCATCATATTGTACCTTTGTGTGAAAGCTTTTCCACAGACATCACACGTGACAGACTTTTTACCTGTGTCATTATCTAAAGTATCATCTGAAATGACAGAACTATCCAGACCATAACTGTCCCCTCTGACTTTGTGATGGTCATGTGTTAGTGCTCGCTCTCCGGTTGTGCTTGGTTCTGAGCCGTCATGCTCACTTGCTTCATGGTCTTGGCTTTCATCGAGAGGAGGGATCCCACACACCAGGTGGGTTCTGTTAGAGTCCCGTTCCCCGAGTGGACTCGTCTCTAGTGGGGTAATCACAAAGGGGTCCACCTCTTCCTTCACTACCAGCGGCTCCTTCTCCGGACTGCTGCAGGTGTCATCCTGCTCCACTTTAATCCGAACAGATTCCTGCTCCACAAAGGAGATCCTTTCCTGCTCACACCCACCAAAAACCTCGTCCTTACGGATATAATGCTGTGGAAGTTCTGAAAGGACACCAGGACACAAACAGCTTAGAATGAGGACAGATGCTACATTCCAGGAATGTCAGTGTGAACCAGCCACAACAATCACAGGCTCGAGTTGTCCGAAAGTCCGGCTCACTTTGATGAACTGGACATACGACCACAGAACACGAAGGGCCTTTTTACAGTTATCAAACCCCGTTTAGACAGAATGCGGGCCCGGCTCTGCGTATACTGTCACATACCGATGGTATGAAGGTTTAGTTGAGGTTTCCAGGTGAGTTCCAGCAGTCTGCGCTGGCCATGGATCTGGTCCTCGTACCGGATGAGGGTTTTTTCTAACTCCGCGCAGATTTCTGTGGCGGCAGCAGCGAGCCGCCGGCTGATGAACTCTCTCAGAGGCTGGACACAAGACATTGTTGCTGAAAGCATAAAAAAAACAGGAAGCAACGGGGTCCTAACAAAAGGCACGCTAAGATTGCTAGCACCCTAGCTACTTCCACCGGAAGTGACGTACGTACGCCTTGTTTTTATTCCTTGTTCGCTTTGTTTTTGCGGGGATGCTAGTCGCTGCCACCCTCTTTTTATGTTTTAAAACGCACAAACTCAAATGATGTTCATGTCTTTCCAGAATACTTAAAGTTTTTTAATTATACAACATTAAAAAAGATGTGTCCCATCGTTGGGCTGCATAGGTCACTTCCGACCCGGAAAGGTTCATCCTGAGGTCTGACCTCAGCTGAGGGCTGTAGTGTGAATATGGAAATCCTTTATCAAGCATCCCTGATTGCGGATGATAACATAGTAAGTTACATCTTCTCATTTTCTTGTGCTATTATACAATCATTATACAGTTTACTAAATGTGTCCTCCCTAAAGAAAGCAGCAGAATGGTCTGAAACATCTCTCTGATCCCATCCTCAAACAGAACCAAGACCAGGAAGAAACCTCCACCGGAACCAAAGCCAGGAACAGCCTTCGTCAGGAGCAAAACCAGACTGGGGGACTGGCCATCCCCAGGACTAGCTGCGGTTTTCCTCACATTTCACAGGAAAATCCAAACTGCAACTTGGGATAAACGTTTACCACTAATTATACAGGGATATTGGGTCTGCAGGGATTCTTGAATGTTTCCACGAGGGGGTCCGGCTACTCTGGAGCTTAACATTTTGTGCCGTTTGGCTGGGTCCAACTTTCAAAAGAAATGCGTCTCTCAGGGATTTCCCAGTAAAGTCATCGTGAATCAGTTTAAAAATGTCTTCTATGTGTTTTTAGCCCTGGCCTTATGTTAGATATCATTTTTGAGGACACAGCGTCTAACAACAGAAAATTATGTGGTCAAGTTTGTGCAGCACGTTTATTATAAAGTTGGAAAAAGCATGTACAGAGGTCTTAGGTGGGACTCCCGGGCGTGTGGGCAGCCTCAGTGGGTCTGAGCCGGCAGCCAGCAGATGAATGCGTGCTGAGTCTCAGACGAGCAGCTGGTGGGGCTCCAGCTCTGGGAGTTTGTAACCAGAACGCACTCTGAACCCACATCGGACTGGCCTGCCGGTGGAGCGCTCTGGTTGAAGGAAGAGTGACCAGCACCCCACGTCCAGCTGTCCGAACCTGCAGGGAGGAGAGCAACACGCTAAAAAAGGGGCTTCATTCCATAAAAGGATCTGTGGGTTTGGCTAATAGTTAAGCAGCTATTCATGTTTAGGACTGAGAACAGATGGATCTAAAGATAAAGACAACAATAATGAGACACCTGCTGAGGAATAGATGGTTTTAGTTTATCCTGACATTATACATTTAAGAACTGAACTACTTTATTTCTCTCGAATCTAATAAGGGATTAAGACAAAAATCAGAGGGCGAAGAAACACAGTTTAGTTTTTAATGGAGCTCTTAGTGACTTTTGCATTCCATCAGAGATCTTAACTTTAGCTTTAGCTTTA